TACGCTCTTTAACGGTTTGAGATGAAAATGCTCTCCACTGAGATTTTAAAACTGCATTCCGGAAACACTGTTGTAAAAATTAAAAGTTAGAATGTGCGACTGCGCTGCTGTTGTATGAATAAGAGTAATAATTATAGTAGTAATAACAGTGATAATAAAAATAGTGATAACTATGACAGTAATAGTTACTAATGGCGATAAATAATAACAGTGGTAATTTCTTGGGGGTAATAATAATTTTGGTAGTAATAACGGTGATAACAATAATAATTGAAGTAATTTTAAATTTCTGCGTACCTTCAGCTTCGTGTTCGCAATATGGGAATCGACATCAGTGTGATCACTGCTCGCGATTCGTGATTCAAAAACGCCACCTGCTGATGCATGCGGCGATTGCGCCAGTCGTATAACACCGGATTTTTCATCGATGGTGAGGAAACCACTGGCCTGCCGAACTCGATCTCCGTACCGATAAACCGTTTCGTCAATTCGATAACGAACTGAGTTCGAATCTAAAAATTTTTCATCTCTTATGCAAAATAAGTGCTGGAAGGGTGCTTGGGTTTTCACATTCAAGAAATGGAATGCGTATTCAGTGGCAGCATGTTTATCTGCTGATCAAAGAGTGTGTGTACTTCACATATGAGTTCGTATAAATTACTTCAGCGGGAAGAATGGTACCTCTCGACCAAAATGTGCCTTCTTTTGGTCCGATTTACGAAAATTTGGCAGTTTTATTTGACTCATTTTTTTTTTTTATCAAGCTGTTTTGCGAGATTTCGCTCCTCTTTGTTATTTTTCGTGTTTTTAGCGAAATTTGGCTAAATTTTTCAAATTTGTTTAGATTTGAGTATTGCTACGAAGTAGAAAAGAAGGAGGCTCGCTGATTTATTGCGATCTGTGCACTTACATTAAGAAGTGTTTGTGTAAAAATTAAGCCACTCATTTTGAGCAGTTTCCTATGTTTTCTTAAAAACAGAGCACAATTATGTTTACCAACTCGTTTGATCTCTTGAACACTAAATGTGCCACGTTGAAGGTTTTGCATTCCTGATGATAAAAATGCCCTAAGCGTCAGTGAGCAAGTCAGAAGAAACTCACTAGG